TGGGAAAGCTATGGTGTCTTCACTCATCAAGGTAGAGTACTCTTCACATCTTTAGTGGCATTGTGTTCTCCTACAGGCAGCTCAAAACTATTAGTAAGGAGCAGCATGCTTCAATTAAAAAACAACATATTGGCGCAGTAATGAAACATGTAAACACAGTGGGGAAAAGTCCCATCAGTATTAGAGAGCTCGGTTTTTGAAGTGTATCATCTTTTCCAAATGTGAGGTATCAATGAAGTCTTTCGGCCACATTGACTGGATGGGACTGGAGTTATCTCTCAGTGTGTGAGCATATTTTTAAGACTGTGACTGACTAATAATGTTGTTAGTCAGAATTTCATTCCTTGTCCCCGCTTATTGCTGTCAGCCTTACACAGCTCCACCCTCCTAAATAAGTCTCATGTTTTATTATACTCAATCTCATAATTAACCTGCTAGACTCCTCTTTAATGTCTGTCTCTGCCATCGGTGATTTGAAAATCTAACATTTCCACAAAGCCAGAGAAAGTAAACATGTGCCTCCTGCTAATATCGTGTCGTAAAAGCCCACCAGTAAGTGTCTCTCCTGCCGGGCTGTGCACAGCCTGCTCCCTTGAAAAATCTAGTTCATCTCATTGCTTGTCCTTATTTTCTTGTGTTTACCAACCTCGAGTTACTGAACCTTTACTTCTAGTAAATATATATCCTGTGTGTTGTCCTTCAATCAAACCCCTGGTCAGTGTTTCGTGTGTTGACAGTACGTTTGTGACAAGCTAATGGAAGTCTATGGGATCGAATGCTCCACAAAAAATGTGCTCAATCTGGACTCCAGCACAGGAGACAAGTTCAGCCGCCATCTTATCTTCAATCTGGAAAATGCAGCCTTCAAAGACAACATACATGTGGGTATGTTCCGTGTTGTTCACAGTAAAGCTGTTTTGTTCATGTGTTAATAAAGTCCTATGGACGCATAAAGCTGTCATTATTATTAATAGATGAATAGATTAAATAATAAGAAATAAATATGCCTATCTTGTAGTTTTATATATTCTGTCTGCTCTTTTTCTAGGTTGGTTTATTCATGCAATTCTGCAGCCAATCCTGAGCACACCTAAGAGTGGTTGTTTCATGAATGTTGGAATGAATTCAGAAGCCCCCAGCAGCAAAACTCGGTTTGTTTTTCAGACCTGAAAAAATCAATCTTATTGTATTTGTTCATTGAGCATTTTAAATATTTTTCAACAATGCTCTGACAGAGGAGGACATGATGTGTCATTGGAGGAGGAAGAAGACGAGCTGGCTGAGAATCAGAAGGCTAAGAGGTGCAAGAAAGAAGAGACTGACCTCCGGTTCCTTCAAGTGAAAAACAAGGATGCTCAAGACTGCCTCTTTGTGGATCTTGGTAGGAAAAACAAGCATGTGTCTTTTCCTTTTATTAACCCTAGTATCTTACCCGTATTTGAGTTAGATTATTCTCTTCATTCATTCAGCGCTCCTGTGTGTGTCATTTTGTAAAAAACTTGCCATCATGCACATATGGAGATAAAAAAACGATGGTTATACTTTTACAACAACAGGTGTTTACACCAGGAACAGAAATTTCCGCCTTTACAAGTCGTCAAAAGTTGGAAAGAACGCGGCATTCAACGTGGCAGATGATAACACGTTTACTGCTAAACCTGAGAAAGGAGTTTCTGTGGAGGAAAGTGTGTTCTTGGCATCCTTAGTCTGCAATGTCAGGTACAGTTAACACATTTTTACTTGATTTTCTGTACACAGAAAGTAGCTCCATAAAGCTACAGCATTAGAGCTTTATTTATTTTTAGTTTCACAGGTCAGAGAATTCTTACATGGGACATCCCAGAAATGAAGGAATCGAAAACCTCAGGATGTCAAAACCAGTCGGGATCAGCCTCAAATTCAGGTAACACAAGATGCTTCTTATTCTAAAGTGCGTAAACAAACGATGCACTACATTGTAAGCGTATCAGTAGTTTGGGTTGTATATAAAGTTGTTTTTTTTAATACATCACTGGCAGACCCGATTTCTGGCTACCTGTCGTCCCCTCATCAAGAAGTGGACAACTTTGTTTTGACTGTGGTTAAAAAGAATGGCATTCATGGAGGTAAGTGTTTGGTGTGATATCAAAACATTTGCATGTTGAGTTTGGGACCTAGGGAATATTTCTTGGGTAATAAATGTATCATATTATACCGTGAAACTCCAAATAAAAGCCTATCCCGATTTTAAGGCCCGGTACTTTTAATTAGCCTGGTGTTGCTGCACGTGTTTATGAATAAAGGCAGGTCTCAATAAGAGGCTTCTCGTCTTTTAAGTGTTGAAATAGTTTGTGGATCAAAAATGAGCAAGATGGGGAAAAGTAAAGATGAACTTCAACATCTGTCCAAGAAAGACAGATTATTGAGAGCACAAGACAGTACACGAGAGAAGGTTGAAAATGAATATTCTTTCTAGTGCAAATTAGCGTTTTTACATAATTCTAATAATATTTACATCATTATATTGCTGTGCCTGAGTTTTCTTTGAACATAGTTCAAGCCTGTCTCATGTTGACGCCTGCCCCAAATAAAGGAGTTTCTGTTTATGTAGAGCTGGTAAACTTAACCATATAATCCTGAGATCTATATGTGACAGCAAATATCATGTGAGGATTGGTTAGTGTTGACAGCATCAAGTAACCATTGGCATATAGCTTGAACTCAAGTTTCCAGTGTTTTAAATGATACGAGATACATGTCAGAGCTCATTCTGTTGTTGCCAACTGGTCAACTATCTTTGTAATTTATTACAGTGCAACTTCACAGCACAACAAAGTGCAGCTTCCAATATTGCCGTGCAGATCAGTCAATATATCTCTAAAACAATCCTCAACAAAAAAACAACCTTTATGACCTTATTAGCAGAACGACTTCTTTTTTATTATCATGCATTCCTAAACAACATGGTAACTGATGCTACATAGTCAAACTGGTGAGTTATTTTTTTGTTCTATATGACTGGAAATCGCATCAGAATACAATCTGCTAATTCAATATTTGATGAGCGGAAATGTTTGGGCTTTAATTACATCATTGTCTCGTGTATTATGCAAAGAAAAATGACTGTTCTGTTCCCTTCAACAGGCATCAGACGATGGAACTACTTTGCTGCCGAGCAATTGCTTGTGTACGACATCTCAAAATACCGCTGGTGTGAAAATGTGGACCGGTTTCATAAAAGCAACAACATCATGTACGTAGTTTTCCTGTTTTGTTGGATGCGTGTGTCTTAAGAGTGCGCTTCACTCCTCTGATTGGGTCTCATCCCTCTCTGCAGGATTGTTGTGGATCTCAAAGAGGAAGTGTGGTACCAGAAGTGCCACGATCCCCAGTGCAGGAACTTCAGATCCTCAAGTATGTATTGACCAGAAAAACTCATGGTTTACATTTAAATGAACTTAAGATCACAACATGAACTGTCTGTTAGTTCATAATATTTTACAATGGTGGTAAAAGAACCTGTCTGACAAAAACTTGTGTTTCAGGTTACCCACTGCCACAGGAGATCTGCGTCAGCTACATTCTGACTCTGGTTTGTTTACTTCACTTTAAGTAGCGTCTACACTACCAAGCTATATTTTCAAGGAAGCCATGTTTAAAGACATTGTGTTCTTCACAACATGAAGCGGTGCATAATCAAGTTTTCTGTTCACTGACAGGATGAAGAAGACCAGGCTTACTTAATGGACGATGCTGGCAACATTGAACCCAGCCAGGCACCGAAGCAGACCCCACAGAGCACGGTGCGGCCAGAGGGGGGCTCTGCTGATGCGTGGGGAGACGGACAGGATGACCAGGACTATTTAGAAAGCCTGGACAACTTTGAACAGAACAATGAGGAAATTTCTGACCAGCTTCTGCTCACATGTGTGGCAGATTTTGATTCCAAGTAGAAGTGAAGGTTTGGCTGTACAGGATCAAAGACACTGTCAAGTCTTTTAAGTGCTCCTATTCAGTATTAATAAGCAGCATAACAAAAAAAAAATGTTTTATTGATGTGTAGTTGTAAACAGATATATAGTATATTAAAGGCAGAATGTGCACATGCATTTTACACATAAATACAGCGGAAATCAAAGTATATCCTCTGTGAATGTCTCTCTGAGTCTTGACTGTCTACAATGAGTGAGAAGCGCGAGTCTCGCCAGCTGTACTGTTGTTAGAGCCGTGTTTACATCATGTTTACATGGACGGCACGGCATTGCTTATAAAGCAGTTTTAGTCGAGGACTAGAGAGAAGTAGAATAACATACTGCTTATTTGGATGTCACACAAGTGTCTTTGGATCACGGTCATTCTGTGTCAATTAATGTGCAATATGAAGCTGTGAGTTAACCAAAGTGTGCTAACAACAATGCAGACCACAGGCAATTGCAGCTCGAGCAAAAGGTCCAGTTTGTCCTCCACTTGTGCTTAATGGTGTTTAATTATGGTGCGTTCAGTTTGATAACTCCTTCATTCGAATGCGAGTGGAGAGGGATTGGAGGTGTGCTGCTGGAGGAGAGCCGAGGCTTCACTATGGTGGAGGTGTGAAACAGCAGTTTGTTTTGGCTAATGCTGATGCTCAAGGGTGACATCTACAGGATCAAAAAGTCACACACACTCTTTAATCAACATTTGTCTAGAACAATAATCCCTTCCGAGGCTGCTGTAGAATCAGAGTGTAAATGAAAATGTAATTGAAGTCATGAAAGCAAATAGGTCATCATGGGTAAAGTTATATAATAAGCAAATACTGCAAAATGTCTAAATTAAATTCTATATTGACATGAACTTCTCAGGAACAATTTCATGAGAAAACATTTTATCATTTCAATCTCATGCAAATTTAATAAAGATGCAAACATTTTGTACCCTACTGGCACGAAAACTATAAAAAAAAAACATGTAATATTTACAGACGGCCTCTGAGAGATCCATCAGAGGATGTTTCCTTATAATAATACCAGACATCATACCGGTTTAGTTTAACACGTTTTATTTGATACAGTAGACAAATAAAGATACTGTTCTCGTCTTTTCATATAAGTGTTTAAAAAAACCCAGTATGGATTGAAATGTCAACGAAGCTTTGACATGATGAGCTGTTTCTGATGTTTAGAATTCACTCAAAACATTTACAACAACAAAAACGTTTCTTTGTTAAACATCCGAAATGTTGCTCCATTTCCCTTGAGATATTCCGAGGACCCTGCGTGAAACGTTAGTGTGAAATGGAAAAGAAAATCTTGAAAACTTCACGTTAACTCTGACACCACTGTTCAAATAATATTTACCCTGACTACGTGTGTTGTGCGTTACAGAAATGACAATGTGCAGCTTTCACCTGCAAACACTGTGGCACTGAAATGGGAAACCCTAAAGTTGTCAGACCTGTTTCAAGAGTAACATTCAATATTCTTCATGCGGTGTTCAAAGAAAACAGACAACCCCCAAAAAAAGGCACCAAACAGTCCGCCAAGCAACAAGACTCCCATAAAGATATCACTTCAATTGTGCACCCAAACGGGTTGATCAGTCCCTCAGCCAATAGCACTTATAAACATGGGAATGGGCACAATACTCTGCATACAAATAGACTTTTTTTTAGCAGATACACTATGTACAGGTTCAATTATTACATTAAATATCAACTTAAATACATGGCCAAAACATTAAATAGTCTGGTATATAAATACTCATATTTGTCAAAGCAGGCTTATAGGATTTTTCTCTCTGCAGCAACCAAGAATAAAAACTTGCTTGAAAAGTTTCATTAGACTTTTCTGACTGTAGTAATCAGTCATACTCAGAGTTAAGGCAGTTTAGGCACGGCTTTTTATTTTTTTAGCAGTTACCTTGAATAATTTATACCAGTTATAAAGATGACAGGATTTTGAATCAACGAGTCAGTGCTAGCAGGAAAAAATATAGTGGCACAATTTCTATATGAATCAGGGAATACGTACTTCAAATGTGGATCATTATCCATTTAGTTACAAGAAACCCCCCCCCCCATATCCTCTGGCAGAATAATTGCAGGAGACCCCCTGCTTCTCACTTCTGGCTGTGTGCTCTAAATGATTGTCTCTTTCTAAACAGCGGCCCTCATTTCCAGTTTAGATCTTAATGTTGGCATAAAGTTCATCAATCATGTCTCTGAAGCGGCTCCGAAGCTCCGCCCTCTTGGCCTTCAAAGTGGGTGTGAGCAGGCCGTTCTGGATGGAAAACAATTCGGTATGTAACACAATATCTCTCACCTGCAGAGAGGAAAAGAAAGGGCAAAAAAAAAGAAGTCAGCTTATAGCTCACAATTTGTTTTTTATGAAGGAATTTCAGAGTTTGACTTTAACTTTATGAGCAAATGAGAAAGTTAATTTCACATTGACTTTTGTACATTTAAAAGCAAAAACAGATTTCTTTAAACTGCTTTTGACCAACCTACTGCTCAAATCTGTAAAATCTAAAATATTGTGCTACAAAGTAATTAAACATGAAGTTATAAAATATAACTGATATTTGAGCTTTTGATTTTGCCTTTTTTTTCCAAGCAAATAGAGCAGATACATGCAGTGCACAAATAATCCACCATGGGGCATAAAGCATGGGACATTTATATAGTATCAAAAAAGTCAATCACTGACACAAAAAGGGATTCTTTATCTTTTCACAATTAAAAAAAAAAAGATTGAAATTGTTAATGATAACTAAACAGGGATATTTACTGGATTGAAAGCAGAATTTTGGAATCAAATGTGATGCTGTCAAACGGATCAATAATCACCTGCTCAAAGGACTTGAGTCCGGCTTCTTTTCCCAACCTCAGAAGGTCCTCCAGTATGGCATTCTTCACATCCTACAAACCATCAGAAATATGTTAGCACACAATGCACATGGTGATGTGTGATTTTTACTGCTGACATTTAAACACCTCACCTGGTTTTGGCACAGTTCAGAGTAGGATCCTTCAATCCCTTTTTTCTTGAGCCAAAGTGGTAAAAAGTCAGGATCAGGTACCACGATCCCCACCAGGCAAGCCTGACAATTACAACATGGATAAAAAATAATGATCAGCACCACACAAATAGTACACAACTAGAACCAACAGATAAAACAAAACCGGTCTGTTTTTTTCTAATGAGCATCTTTTTAAAAAAAAATTTTTTTTAAGCGCTTTCTGATGAATACCTGTAAACTGTCACCATGAACAAATATCTGAGCCACAGGATCACTGAGGCTATAGACGGTTTCGATTTTCTCAGGGGCGATGTATTCTCCTTGTGCCAGCTTGAAAATGTGCTTCTTTCTGTCGGTAATCTTCAGAGTACCATTCTGCAACAAAACAGGAGAAAAACAACTTCAAGTTAAGCTGCAATTAATACGAACACAATGGACATACTAAAGCCGCCTATAATAAAGCTCCACTTACAGGAAGCCATTTCCCGATGTCTCCAGTGTGCAGCCACCCGTCCTGGTCGATCGCCTCTTCTGTTTTCTCCGGATCCTTTAGGTATCCCTTGAAAACATTTGGTCCTTTGACACATATCTAGAGAGAAAAGATGATAAATGTGAAAAAGCAGATTTCCAGACATTCTTACCTGCGGGGATATTTGAATTGGTCAAACTTTTAAACCTGCTAGTGGCACATGTTGACCAAATATTGGATAGACATCCATAAAGTAGAAAACCTCAGCAGGTCAAAGTTTTAGACTTTCCTATGAAATAACTCGATGTCTACTAAATATACTAATGTGCCACAATAATCAGCTGCTGTCTTGTTTTTATAACAATCAGTGTAATACTGGTATCATCCCTTTAGCACTGCTCAAATATATCTTCACAAATGCAATGTAAATCAATTCACTGAATGTGTTTGATGGAAACTGAAGCAGCATTGCTCACTTCTCCTTCTCCATTGGCTGCCAAATAATTCATTTCTGCCACGTCCACCAGTTTGATAGCATTGCAGGGCAGAGGAGGTCCAACATGACCTGCAGACACAAGATCATGTTAGGGTTTTTTTTACCCTCCAAAGACAGAAAAGAGTCAATTTTTGTATACATACACCTAACAAAAGACAAAAGCCACATGTAGTAGAGGTTTAAGGCTTTACCTGCAGACCAGTCCCCGGGCACTGACATGGAGCAGCCAGCTGTACATTCAGTCTGACCGTAGCCTTCATAAAACTGAAGTGCAAAGTATGTTTTTAGAAACATTCACGGAGGCAAAAACAATCAGTCATTGTTCAGTGAGATGGGACGTGCGTATGGCTCACCTGACAGCCCAGTGCAGCTCGTAGAAATGTCAGGATGGTAGGAGAAACTGGTGCTGCTCCTGTGATCATGAGTCTGACACGACCGCCCAAACTTGCCTGCAAAATGTGAAATAAACGGAGAAGTAAGACTCAAAAATAGGAAACTGAAATATATTTATTCTATATATTATTTATGATATATTATATATATATATTTATTAATATTTATTCTTTGAATTAAAACATTACTGTAATACTCCTGTCACTAGTGAAAGGTGTTTGCCCAACTTAGAAATGAAGGAAGACGTTTTGTGTAGTTATTAATATCAAATAAGGAGTAAAAACATAGAATCTAAAACTTAATTTTATTTTCAAATGCCAAATATGATTTATCTCTGAATACCAGGTTCAGTTGTAGTTTTTTAAGGTAGCGCGAGGGGTTAATAAAGGTTATAGAACAGCATTTAAATGGCTTGAAGGAGTCGGCTGTGTTCACCTGGACTTTTTTGAAGATGAGTGTGTCCCACATACTATCTTTTCTGACCACACCACTTTTAAGGTCTGCCTCCTTCCTCCTGAATGCAAAATCGAGCAGCCACTTCTTCAACGGTGTGTTTGCTTGACTGAATACCTGTGGAGGATTAAGGCAAAAAACAAACAAACAAAAAAAAATATATATATATATATATATGAGCGTTTGCCATAGAGAGCCAGATTAATATTAATGGTTTTAGGAGACACCACAAGATTTTTAAATTTCAGATGGACAAATTAGTAAATTAATGGTGTAATTTTATAATACACACAGGCAAAGATCTCTTTTAGATTTGTAATCCAGAATAATTTAGAATTACAGATCAAATGTTCATAAAAAAATTAGTAGACAAAAAGAGAGAAGACTCACTCCATAGCTATGACTTTTTGTAGATATTTACATCAACATTTCATAAACTTTCAAAAAACTTTGTCTGACCTTGTCAAACATGCGGTTGAGGAGGCGTGGGACCACAGGGAAAACTGTCGGCTCCAGCGTTTTCAAATCATCCATCAGAAGTCGAATGTCTCCTTGGAAATACCCGATTCGAGCCCCATGAATGAGAATGACACCCTGATGAGAAGAGAGCTGCTTAGTCCTAGTGTGAGTTTAATGTCCGCCACAAGGGGGCAGTGTTTGATCTCCACTTTTTTACGACATATTCAACATGTCCCAGTAAAGCCCGCTGCTTAATGTTTTGCACTTGTAGGATGTTACTGATCATGCTGCTTAGAAGTTAGCTTGAAGGTCACAGGCTATTTAGATATTTGCAAATGAAAGATCAAATCATTAAACAACTATTAAGGACATTAGGTTGACTCACACGTGCACGTTTTTTTTTGTTTCACATAGAACAGTTGTCATTTAAAGTTTCAGATGGTTTGGTGTAACTTAACATCATTTTTGGCACATGTGCCAATTTAATACATAACTTTTAGTTTTTGTAGCAAAATCATAACAATAATTAAAATATTGTACTATTTAAGGTACCATATATTTAGGGCAATAAACATGTAACTTAAATTAACCTCTCCTGCATCATTATTACATTTGGTTTTAAGAAAAGCAGCAATAAAACTGTCAAAATAGTTATTTCAAAAATATTTAAATATCTGCACTAAGACTAAGTAAATGGTATGCTGAATTTTGAATCCATTAGGTTTAAACTTAGTTAAGATCCTGAGCTCTAGGGACACATTTTATTTGTAAACAAAGTATTTCATTCCCATCTCTAAACCCGACTGACTAAATTAACTCAAAGGGTCATTACAATAATACAAAATGACTTTAAACGATAGCTTAATAAGAGAGAAGAAAACACATTACACGATCAAATGACCTTGGATAATAGTCTGACACACTTCCTGAGACTCATTTAACTCCACCTAAAATGAAATAGTAAAATAAGTCCAACACATACCTGTACAACCCTCTCAAACATGTGAGCTAGGGGGAGATAGGATACATGAATGTCATGGAGGTCCAGCATGCAGTGTACCTGCAGAGGACACACAAAACAAAACACGTGCATGTTTGCAGGTCAAGCGCCGTGTACTGTACCTCCACCACCCTCTCAAACATGTGGGCCAAGGGGAGGTAGGAGATGAGCACATCTTTAGTGCTTGGCTTCAGAGTGCCCTGGACAACACCAAACACAGGCGGAGGAGGAGGAGGAGGAGGAAGAGGAGGAGGAGGAGGGAGGAACAGACACAGGGGAAGGTATAGAGTGAAGTAAGACAGGGAAAATAAAGGAGGTCATAGAGGATCAGACAGGATCCGTCAAACAGAAAAACCACCAAACAGCTCCATTTTCAGTTTCCTTTTTTCTTATTCCCAGAAGTCCAAACAGTTAAAAAAAAAAAAAAAAAAAAAAAAAGGCACACATTTATCTGCAATTTGAATCTCTATAATTAGATTTATGTAAATAAAATTTAAACATGCTCTTTTAAGGAAGAATGTGCGACATTTTAAACTAATACAGCAGAAATCATGAGTCATGACTGTCTACAATGAGTTAGCAGCTCGAGTCACGCCAGCTGTATTTTTGTTGGAGCTGTGTTTACTTCATGTTCACATGGACAGGGCGGCCTTGCGTATAAAGCTGTTTTAGTCAAGGACTAGAGAGAAGAAGAACATACTCACTGCTTATTTGGATATCACGTGAGTGTGCTAACATTAGCCTGCTAATGCAACAATGCAGGACACAATTACAGCTGTGTTGACATGAAGAGTTGCATCATTTACTTCCTTATATTTGATGGACAGTTGCAGATTATTTAGTTTAATATGTGCTATTATCCCTGAATAATTAAAAAAAATGTGGATAGTATCAACTGTGGCTCTAATATAAGAAGCAAGAACATGGAAGAGCTTATTTGTTGCAAAGTTTACAGCAAAAAAAAAAAAGATTGCTCATAAACAGGAGAATAATTTAAGAGTGAATAAGATAATGTGCATTCACTGTAAAAGAAAATCATATACTGTACACATGCAGCTGTACAGTCAGAGGACACTGCCAAGAGAGAGTTGGTGAGTAAAGCAGAGAAAACCCTCCAACCTATAACAAGGGAGAGTATCATCAAAACTACACGATTAAAAAATATCATTGATATTGCGATTCATTTCTTTGAAGTCTGGCTGTTGTGTTTGTTTACCTCTGTTATTTTAATGAAAGCTGCAGTGTTGGAGATGACATTCCCGTGAGTGAGCATGGCACCTTTTGGATTTCCTGAAAGGGAAAATGATGGTCATGAATATACACAAAGTTAAATAAAATAACAGCGGTAAAGGGTTAAAGATGTCACAGGTTGTGTATTTACCTGTGGTTCCTGATGTAAAGCAGACAAGTGCCAGGTCTTCTGGTTCAGGAGGCTGTAATGAAATCACAGATCTATACTGACGCATCAAGACTAAATGGCAATCGTGCAGGATGCTTTATATTAAATTATACTCTCTGGTAACCGAGGAGGGTTTAGAAGCTGTCTTTCCGCATGTGATCAAATGAAGTGTTCCTCGTACTCACCACTGGTTTTTGATGGTGTGCTTCACCAAAGGCCTGTGAAAATAAACACAACCTAAAATGAGATCTCCAGGAAGGGCTGATAATAATCAGGCGTTTAACAAACAGCACACCGGGGCCTCATTTCCATTTGGTTCTATCAAGAGCATGGCTGAACAACAGCGTACCGCAAATAGAAACAGCAAGAGTCAAATCTAATTTTCTTTTCACATGTTGTAATACTGTACAGAAAGATTACGATGTAGGAGGGTGGAGACAGCTTTTGAATTAAAGATGAGGCGATTATGATGTTTGTAATAATGTATCTCTATTCTATTTGGATGCTTCGCAGCTCGTTGTTGTCTCTGTTCATTGTGCTGCTGTCTTGGCTCGGACAAGTTTTTTCCTGGTTAAATAAATAATAATAATAATAAAATCTCACCTCAAACTCCTTCAAACTCAGGATCTCGATACCACTCTCCTTTCCACGGGTCACCAGGTCACTGTCGAACTCCTCAACGAGCACAATCGTCTTCACCGTTCGTCCCTTTCCATCGACACAGTCCAGAATCATCCGTGCTTTATCGGGTACGTCACAGATCACGGTTGCGATTGAAGCTGAAGAAACCAGACGGAACAAAATCAGTTTGTGTCAATATCTGTGTCCTCGATGTAAGGCGCTGTGATGGCACCAAAGGTGGTGTGTGGTGAGCATATGAAGGCGCCTCTCTGACGTACCTTTGTCGATAACGTAGCCGATGGCCTCTGTGCCGAGGGTGTCGTACAACGGAACTGCCACCATGGAGTATGTGTAACAGGCCAGCTCAGATATGGTCCACTGAGAGACAAAACACAGGAAGAAGGGAAACAATGAAGACACTGAGAACCTGTGAAATCAAAGGCCTCCTAATTTGAGTTGAGTCGAACAATATCAAATGAAGTCATGCATGCAGTGTGACAGTGTGCAAGTCTGGGAGGGCTCGAGATGGTTATTAAAAGAATCACCATCGCCAAGGTGATGAACTATAAGTTGTCTCTTGGTGACACTTACTGGTGTTATTTTTACTGTCACGTCCAGCCTCTGCTTTGTGTACATTTCCATTTTTACTTTATTACTTACCAAAACGTCCTTCATGTCTAAAAGTTCACGATGAACTCTGGGTGAGTCACCAAAGAAAAGTCTATAAAAAAAAGGGCAGACTCAGAGAAAAAGAATGTAACTTAAAGGTGTTGTCAACTCCACATCACAGCCATAATGCACTTGATGAATTGACAGTGTGACAGCACTAAGCACTCACACACTTACTGGGAACATGCCTCAAAGGTGGCGGTTCATAAACACAGAAACAGATTGACCCTGCCAAGCTGTGCTTTTGTTTGGGTAGTACTCGTATGCTTTGCTGGGCTAAAACTTGTGTGAACTTTTCAAATAATTCAGGAGAAAATACAATTTTGGTTAATATATTGACTATTTGATATTAGGTTCCAGAGAATTAGATTCGATCTTGCACAGTTTCTGTCAAGACTTCCAGCTAATTCTTTTATTTTTTTCCATTTCTCTCAATTATTTAAATCTTCAGAATTTGTTTTCATGGCATTTAGCTTTGTTAACTGACCAATGATTGCAGACATTTTCACACTGGGGGGGGGGGATTAACCCACATTACAAAATGACGTACACATTACAGACAGGGCTTTGAGGACAACAGTTAATGTTTTTAGAAACTTGTGCAAACAAAGCCTAAAGGACATTTTTCATACCTCTGGTCTGTTCTGGGAAAAGATGCCAATGTATTTGTCTCCTGTGGGAGAGTGTCCTCTTTGGAGGAGAGCAGAACCGAGGTTCTCAGCTCTGTCTGCCACCTGTGAAAGACAAAAACAAGGAGTTTTTTTCTCGTCTCGTATCATAGACAAAAATGATGATGCAGCAGATTTTCAGGTCATCTCACCTCTTTATAGGACAGCCACTCATACGGCTGGTTGGGTTTCCTCGACCCTAGACAAGGTCCGTCATCTGCAAAATCAAAGTTAATCTCACTTTAATTCACATTTAATGAAGCAACTGTTTTCATAAATCAGGGAGCCTCATATGCAGCTGATATAAGAGATGCTCTTACTTGATACTCTGAGCCCTCGGAGGAACACCTCGTATATCGTACGTGCATCGCTGTAGAAGTGCGTCATCAGCTCGTGGCTGTCATTAAGTGCTGACCTCCTTGCACGTTCTCCCCCCTTCAAGGAAAATACTAAGTTAAGACGAGTACTGGCTGAACCTGTGGAAAGATTTTTTTTTTTTCCCATTTTGTTTGAAGTTTATTACAGCTTTGTGATATTTTGATTAACACACAGACCTGGATCCCCTGTCATATGTGATGTATCAGACCATGAATTACAAAGGTTGTTTAAGCTATTCAGATGAGAGAGGGAGATCTTCAAAATTAACTGAGAGACTCAGTTTGGTTCTGTCACATTAGTTGGAAGACCAGAGTAATGTAAAAATAGAAGATAAAACACTTAATTAATAAAAATGTTATATCTTGATTTCCCCCCCCTGGAAACTCCGGATATTTATTTGAAAGAGTTCGTATAGAAGTTTAACATCTGCAGACTTCACCCTGAAACCCAACTGACAGATCTACAAAACAGACATTTTCCTCTCTGGCTTCTCTGACTTAACTCCACTGGATTTCAAATCTTTTGCTGTAAAAAAAAAAAAATCAGGATTTCCACTGAGTATATCTTGTCTCTGTTTGTAATAAGGCCTTGACGGAAGGTTAAACCTAATGGCTTCACTCAAATCTAATCTTCTCCTTTTAATCTGGGAACATTTGACCCATAAATGTCATGAACCATGACTACCATTTGTCACTTTATGATAAGCCATTTATTGAGCAGTTGACATTAACAATTCAACAATAAAGGATTTATGTAGGTCTGCACTTGTAGAATAGAAATTTAGCACTCAGTGGCATGAACGTAAGAACTGTAACTAAAAAGTAGAGGAAGGATTAATAATTTAATTTTTCCCACCTGGCCACCCCAAAGTTTTCTGTACTATAATAATCTTAAATCAAGATTGTATTCATGATACATCAACCGTCCATTTAAAAAAAATGTACCACTGTAAAGTATACCTTATTAGAAAGTGTTACTGGAAAGATAAAAGAGAAATATCCCTTTTCAAGCACAGCTAAATGGAACTTTCTTAGGTTCACTTTTACTATTACATGACCTTTTAGCTCTAATTGTGAGAAAGTACGAAAGTGAAAGCTTTTACAATAATTATAAGAACTTTCCCAGCATCCGCTCAGACTGGAGAGACTGGAGAGGATCCAGTTAACATTCCTGCTGAATTAGATCTGCTGACTAATTTCCTTTTTGTGTTCCAGCAGTTGCATCACGTTTCAGTTATTCCTCCAAAACAGATGGATATATCATCTTTTTCCGTGTCGTACGATCCACATTGCAGAGATTTCATTCGGGATATTTGATATCACCATAGTTACGAGGAAAAAATAACTCACTTACCGGCATTTCTACTGACTGCATCTCAAGGTCACATGGTGGTTTGAGCGCTTTTGGCTGGGTGGCAAACCAGTATGTGGTGATGGCAGCCAAGGCCCCCATGCCCATGAGAGCGTTGGTGGGTAAGCTGCGGATATACTGCCGAAGATCATCCAGCTCGGGCATCCGCAGCTGTCTCAGGACTTCCTGAGTCTGCATCGTGGTTTAACACTGACCCTGCAGAGAGATGCAGACAGAAACTCGCTTTAAATTTTCAGCATGTTTGTCTCAGATCTCAGTCAGACTAACATTTCATAAACAATCAGCAATGCTGTTCCCACTTTCTGCCTTACGGATGTGGTGATGCAGCAGGATGTAGTCATTTTATCTTTTTATCAATGGGCCTCTTATTTCAGAGCATTACACAGCAAAATGAGAGCAGCCATTAATGTGAAGAATAAAGGTCTCATTCATTCAGAGTCTGTTACAAGATGTTCACAAATACATGAAGTATTGGACACAACCAATACAAGATCATCTTTATTTATTTAAAAAAAAAAAAACCTGCTCTCCTTTTGACTTTTGCATATTGAAAGTGTGTTTGTCTCTTATGCATAGTTTGGATGAACAGAAAGGAAACAAAGGATGAAAGAAGGGGGATATAAAGGACAGCTGTAACACTCTGTGATTAATCCTTTAGCCTGTTACAGAACTGACTAATGGATTGTCACTGTCCATAATCAATGAAAGGCTTTAATGAATTAAAGGTTTAAAAAAAAACATTCTCGTTTCATGCTCTGTGTTTTGTTATTTGAATAAAAATTGATCATTAGCAGGGTTTGGACAGCTGGTTAAATAAAACCAGACGTTTCATTTCCTGTGATGGGCCTTTTAAAAGTTTTAAGAAACAGCTCAAATGATGTATCAAATAATGGAGTCATTTTTTAAATTCATCAAATAATACTCTGCAGAAAAGATGAATAAAACAGAACGTTTCAGCCCCAGGGTTTCCTGATGTACGAGAACTATCGTATATTTGTGCCATCATTTTGCCCTCTTCATGATGTACGATCAATAATTGCAGAAAAGGCCAAGTGTATGAGCATTTTGCAATTTCAATGTCACCTCCAGCAAACATTGTTTGGGATTTGAGAGCAACCAATCACATCAGCACCATTCAGAGCCTGACCAACACACCCTCCGCTCTGCTGCCAGGCTCTACCTGCCAATCAAATCATCACCTGATGCCCTGCTCACGCCTACGGCTCGTTTCCCAGACTGTAGGAAAACACACTTCACAACAACTTAAGATGCTACTAGCGTGAAGCAGAACAATTTACACTTGAACATTTTGTTCCTTTGCTCGTTTATCTCTTCTTTTTTTTATATGTAAGATAGTTTTGAGTAAAATAGGATCAAACAATCAACAAAGGCCCCTTGACGTAATGGATGGTTAACTGCGTCTTTTATCATTCAGGTATCAAAAATATTTTTTAATCAGCATTTACCCCAATTTCTTAACATCTTTCATTCCTGCCCCTACTAATCAGAACAGAGATCAAAGTCTTAACATTTCACAGTACATGTATGCTTACCTTTTTTATAAGCACACTTCTTGAACTTTAATAACACAGCACAGTCTGGTACATATACGTCTTTCTGACACAATAATAACAAAAACAGGACAAACAGTGGGAAACCTAAATGAAACTTAAATGGATACTGAATCAGTGTCCTGCCCTTTGGTTCAGAGATGATGAGCATTAAAGTAGTCGCTCATTTGAGTTGGGTCATTTTAAAGACAGGATGAGAGATTTTGTCAGAAACCTTCCTTACATCACACAAAATGTCACAAAGTTTCAGAGAGCCTCCTAAAAGCAGAAACATAGCGATCTAATCTTTGTGTCATCCTTCAATCGAAATCCAAGAATCTATCCAGCTTTGATCTTGTACAATAAAACAAATCTTAATTTTGATAAGATTCATTTATATATTTGTATGTTCTCTCACCATGTTCAGGTATTGTTGTTTTATTTTGCCTTCAAAAAAACTAAGACCTGCGGACCGTTAGAAAAGAGATGCGTGCAACTCGTAATAAAACAAGTATTAAAGAATTACTAGAAAGAGCCAGACATCTGAATGACCTTTGTCTGGACTGCTTTCTGTTTTATAAGACTGAGAATAGGCTTTCTTTGAGAAATCCATTCAACTAAATATTAAGATTTATTGCAAAGACTAACCTTAATTTCAACAGTTTGAAAATACATTTCTGTACGTCTTCGATTTGTGTTTGGGTTTGTTCTGCGCTTCAACAAATGCTATACACAAAAGGAAGATGTGTTATCCTTTACAGCAGCTGCGCACTTGGACACCAAGAACAGGAAGGAAATTTGACTCCAGTCTACACGGTGACATAAGGACACGACCACTGACACAATGGATGAGACACTTCTCGTTTCTGAAGGGAAGCGATGCTTTCTGGCCTGTCAAGACATACACTAAATATATGGTAGTTTCACTACATCAGTGGTTTTCAAAGGATGTCTGGATTCAATGTTAAAGACTTTATGAGATGAGCAAGTGGCATGAATAACAATGTATAACCCAGCAGGTAAATGAACAAATGACCAACCAATGCAGGGGTAACAATTGACTTCTCACCTACTTCTATTATTAACGCAGAGCCCATGACTGACGGGACCAGTGCCAACTGGGACAAAGTATTGCAGAAGGATGCAGAACAGGTTGCTAGCTCAAAAACTGACTATTAATGATGAGATGCGCAGTCACTCTAAAGTGAGCTGAAAGATAAATAAAAGACCAATGATACTGGAAGATTTTTCATCAACAATACAGACACAAACATTAATTTAGGCCTTTTCACTCTATTTGTCCTTCAAATTATGAAAATAAAATAATGAAAAACTGCCCAATAAACCTAAAAACCTCCCAAAGTCTTTCCAGGTATTGCTATAAGCCGCTCCAACAGACAGGGTAATCCCTTCTGTGTTGGCTTCAGGAAAAACGTATACACAGAGGAATATTTTAGCATTGATTATTATTATTCACAAGTGGAGACATAATAAATCTTTGTACTCACAGTCCCAAAGTGTGTATACGAAAGAAAAGTTAAAGACTGTCCAGAGGCGGAGAGGTGTAGTTATCTGAAGGCCCTGTGCTGCTGCAGCTGCTATTAGAGGGACTCACACTGACCTCTAATAGGCCTCTGAGGTTCTCACCACTATGAATAGCAGAAACACGCCCCTCCAAACAGAAACACAGACGTGCGAGGCAGAGCCAGCCACTCACTGGAGCACAGTTCAACCAGCAGGTAGATTTCCAATCCCTAGAGGTTATCTGCTGTCATGAGGGTTGTTTTTTTTTCTGTTGTTCTGGATTACAACAACTGGCTGTCAGGTGTGCTCATGTCTGTTTAAAAAAACAAAAAAAAAACAGTGGCAACAAATTCAATCAGAGTTATATGACCTGGAATAAAGTGAGCGCTTATCTGAGTTGTTAGAACATCTTTCAGTGGATGAGCAGTATCTCATCATACATGATATTATGAACACAATGCTTTCAAGAAGTCCACATTTCCTCGTAGTTGAACACAGGTTAAATGATATTCCGTTTCCTGCATTTCCAACAACTGAGACATTACTTCGATGGTAACAGTTTGCACAGTTTACTGTACATGCATACTTTTTCTCCTCTGCTGAAAACAGAGAAAGAGGCAGAGAGCCTGGGAGAAAACTCAGTGTAATCAGCTGTGACTGTAGAAAAATACAAACAGACGTGTGACAGACACGAGTATGATGCTGAATCACAGTGCTGAGTGCAAATGATGAATTCCCCTATTATGTTCAACATAATTTGACGTAACTATATTGAGTATGTAATATACACCGATAGAGGTCATTTCTTGATATTATCTGTAGTTTAAGGATGCTATAATGTTAGGTAATGTCAGTTCTGTATTTTATTTCATCACACTTTAACCTTCCATTACTTATAATCATACAGCTCACGCGTCATCAAATCAACAGTTTGAACTTTATTTTCCTATACATCATCCAAGTAATCTACCAACTTACAAACAAGTTCCCTGCAATTGTAGAAACATCTAGATTTGCGTTTGGTAAACAAAAACTGAAAGCTGCCACAAACGTTTACATTCATCACTTGACAAAACCACAAAAATGTCCTCAGATTTGTTAAGATCATAAAAAATTAGCTCATAGTTCACAGTTCTTCACAGTCACGCGAAGTCTGTTCTTAAATGTCTTATTTTCTTTTTACAAAAGTAGCCCAAAACCCCAAAGATCTTCAGTCTGCTGTCATCTGTGACACAGAGAAGAAACAGACATTTGAGCATGTAGCACTTTTGCATTGAAGGTCATAAAATTGGCCCATCATTTCTACATCCATTTAAAAATTAACTTATTGTTGCAGCAAGAGAAGATTTCATCAAGTGCTGAAGGGATAAAGGTTGAGTTGCATCTCTAAGCCATTACAGTGTGTCTCAATAGTGTGCGTTTTTACGTCAGATGGCCAGCAGCAGGCACATGTCACAATGTCCTGCTTAGTTGAGAGGTTTTTGAAGGCGAAAGGTACTCGAACAAACCCTCCCCCACCTCCCACCACTCTCCATACTTGGCCTGTGAGAATGACAGGCCAATGGCAGAGCCAGCTCACCAGTCACCCCACACCCAGGCACACACAAGACATTGAGGGGGAAAAAAAATTGGGGGAGAGGGGAGGGAGGTCAGCTTGGTCAATCGACATATGACAGAGACGGAAGCTTGATAGCAAGACTGCAACTGTAGTTTTCAAAAAAACACCCCAAGCCCCAACCAGAAAGGAAACACATGCTTTTTCAGTCACACTTCCTCTTTAATGCAAAGAAAAGTGACACATTCGGAAACCAAAAGCAGCGTGATAGCATGCACCTTGTCAGCTCTGGTCCTTAGACGCAGGTCAAGTCGTTTAAGCTCATTATAGCCATCTTATCACCCGAGGATTAACACATGGAGACTTTAAACAAACAGAACTTAATCTTATTTTAACAAGATAGTCCCTTTCAAATCTCAGAGACGGCCTTTTCTTAGCTGCTACAATAAATCAGCCTACACAATGTGTGACTCAGCTTGAACAGCGTTTGGTCGATTAGTCGATTACCTGAGCTAAAATAAGAAAGATGCTACAATGATTCATATGATATACCAACTTAAACAACAAAACAAGTATAGAAACCTTTAGTAGTTTGTTTGTGGTGCACGTTAGCATCTTCCGTTCCCTTACTTTAAGGCAAAGTAGCACATCAGATCTGCAACAGCTTGATTTCTCAACTTTTCTCCTCATTCTTTAGATCTTAAAAGCTCATTTTAACACAAGAACAATGTTTCTTTATTTAGCATTTCTCTACGCTGTGCGCTAACATCAACTGTAAAGATAATAACTTATTGTCACATGGCTACAGTCTTTACATATTTTCGTCTCATTTAAAATAATGGAAACATGGGGCGCGCGCACTAACCACTGCGCCACCAGCGCCCCATGTAATGGAGGCTATAGTCTTCCAAGCGGGCGGCCCAGGTTTGAATCCAGCCTGTGGCTCCTTTCTCGCATGTCATTCCCCACTCACTCTCCCTGATTTCCGACTCTATCCACTGTCCTATCTCTACATTAAAAGGCACAAAAAGCCCAAAAATAAATCTTTAAAAAATAATAATAATAATGGAAACATTAATAAAGAGTCGGTCAGAGGCAGCTTTTTTCAACTAGCGGTAATTCTTCATTCAGCACACAAACTGCACCAGCCTCTGAAGTTAAGTTTAAGCTAACGTGGGATGAGGCTAAGCAAGCATCGATAGTCTTTGCAAAGCTTTAATTGTCCAAAGTATTTAACAAAGTATCTTTTTGTTTTGGGCTAAAAAAAATGAAATGAAAGGTAAACAATCAATATGCATCAGTATGTGTAACCACGTGGGCTGCAGTGTATTCAATCCATGCATGAACTTGACAATGTTCTTCCTCATATAGAGGGGGAAATGTAATGTGAAACATATATTGTCTGAGATTCTGAAGAACAAACATCAAATTTGAGGTATAAAAATTCCTATAAATTGAAAAAGTCGGCTCAAGTAAATGCAATAATAATGTTTAAAAAGTTCTGTAGTTCACTGAGGACATTTTTTTTCACCATTCTGAAACTGAACTTTTTGAGACCACTATGATGAAACAGGCGGCGGGGGGGGGGGGGGGGGGGGAAACCAGACACATTACAACAAGCTGCTGTAGTCTGAACTTTCAAATTCCTGGTACGAGCATCTCTGAACTTGATGAACCTGCTGATATGAAGTCAAATATGAGCACAAACATGGGTTCAGCATCAATCTGCTTAAAATGCTTTATGTTGATGTTTGAAAATCACTTTAATGACTTGTACAGGCCACACTGAGGGAAATAGTGTTTATAGAAGGACGAGTCAATATATTGTATATTGTGTAGGTTTACAGGGACACAACACGAGGAGACTCCAAAGCAGGATTTAGACCATGTTGAGTTGATCAGAGCTGAGAATGAGTTACACCCTGAAGGCAAGTTGTAACAGCATGAGCAGGAAGAGACAACCTTAACTCCCTCAACACACATGCGCTGAGTGACACGTAGCAACAAGTCAATTAAATATGTACATTATGGTTACAGCTGCATCGTCACTATGACGGCTAGAGCCTGGATTGCTGTTTTAGTTCACACGTCTTCATCTGCCCTTCTGTCCATCCTCTCCTCTGGCCACATTCACCCCTGGGGTGGTTTGGGACACTAAGACTAACCTTGCACAAGACAACCACGCTCCAGTGTGCAGGTCCTGACCCCCCCCCCCTGATGAAACCGCACACCCCAGTCACATGGTGACTCAGTGGAGAAATGCACATGGCAAGGGAGGGTGGAGGATGGGATTTGTGGAACAAAGGTCATGCACCCTTCAACAGCCACCAAACACCAGGACGAACAAACTGTACAACGCAGGTCAAGGGGGACATGCTGTCATTTAATAACTCCACACAAAGTTGAATCTGAAGGTAACCTAAAGGTGACAGCTGGCTAACTGACAAAGTTTTGTTTCAGTTCCTTTAGTCACAAAAAAAACCACTAACTTTCCCTCTTGATCAAAACTGCTTACTCTCCAATTCTTGAAATTGAGGATGGAATTATTTTGTGCTGATTAACCGGGCTAAGCAGGCAGAAACACAGCTCTACCTAAAACATGTCTAAACACAAAGTGGGATGACTACAGTTTATTTTTGTAATATCTTATTTGTAATGGTATGTTGGTACATTTTAACCTTAACATCGACATAGGGAAAACCATCTTCAATCATCCCTGCAATCGTATATTTATTATCCCATCAACACAAACAGTTGGCAGTATAACTTTTTTACTGCGCTGAAATCCCTGCCTTAAAAAGGCCCCCGCCTAAAAGATGGTGCTCTTCACTGTTTTGTAAACATCAGCTAGCACAGTCCCAGCAAGCACAAACCCAAAACAGGCAGAAGGGCTGATATAGTGGTATTCCCATGTGATGACTCCTTCATTATAAACCCAAAGTGTCTCCTCTGTTTGCCATAATGAAAGCTTTTCCTGTACTCAATGGCAGGGAAACAAATATATGATTGAGTGGACACAGGTGCTTTATTATAGTCCAGGAATGTAACTGCCCTTGTGAATGCACAGCATGGGTTTAAGGACATCACCTAGTGTTTTTAAAAAAAAAAAAAAATCTGCAGGAGAGGAAAATGACTCCCACTCAAACAGCATTCCACAGATTCCTGTCAGAGGAAGCACGCCACTGAGCTTGAACGCCTTTCTTTAAGAGAACCACACACCTCTGCCCCTCAAGGTTTTCATTTATCGATGCTGGCAACAAAAAAAAAAGGTCCGGTCATGATTTATTTCTCGTCACTTTACGTCAACCTTACTTCATTTTAGAGAAGGCTGGGCTCCTCCCCTTGTTCATAACCCTCCAAAAAATATCTGAACAAGTCACTAACTGTCTGTCCCTGCATGTCTGCTTGTTTCTGTTATGACAATAAACAACATTCCCACTTCCAGTAGAACAACGCCTGTCACTCCAAAGTACACCGCTACATATAAAGTCATACAACTGTTTCCCCACTTTTGATCTCTGAAGTTTAGTTTCCATTCCTTCATGATAAGCTTTTTTTTTTATTTATTAAGCACAAACAGAAAATAGGGCAGAGGATCTCTCATCACCAAACTATCTCGCTGTGTTTGCATGCTCCACTTTGATACCAACGACATTTTGAGGCAATCTGACGATGGCAGTGTGATGAAGGGGGAAACCTGACGGGACAGGCATTTACATTGTGATAAAATGACGAGAGGAAAGTTGAAAAGGAGGCCAATACCCTAAGAGACAACAACAAACCATGCTGTTGCTGGCAAGCTAGATAATTAATGAACCCGGAGGTCTGTTGTGCTAAAAGCCGGAAATGTATTTTACCTTAATTTGAGGCTATTTGGTTGAGCCAAGTTGGTTCAAGCATGGTTGTAATGTTTGGTGACTGTCATTTCTATAACCTGCAAATATGAGTAAATATTTTGTTTATAATTTCTTAAAAGGTTAATCCTCAAAACAATAGTTGTTTTTTTTTGTTTTTTCTGGTTGTGCTGTCTGCATAAAGACTGAAAAATACATAGGCTATGCTGCAATACCTCGCAATTCTAATGTACCCAAGGCATGAGAAGTAAATCTAAACTTCAGGCTCGCAATGACGTCACATTCAACTCAAACAAGTGTCACACCATAACATCGCACTGTATACGGAAATGAATAAAACTGGATCTGGCTAAATCCTGCAAAAACAAGCTCTCGTGTGTCGTCTCCTAGTAACCGCCTAGTTTGAGGTTATCAGGTCAGACGAACATCCTGAAACAAGTTGGTATGCCACGACATGCGCAAGATAATGGTCGCATTGTTCCTCTTGTCCACTCCTTGTAATCTCATTTTACTAACACACATCAGAGTGCAGGACAGTTACAGGAGGGGGGGGGAGATTAAGCAACACGTAATGTTTCAAAACAATATGTATCCTGACACACACACACACACATGCATGCATGCATACATACATATCAGCCTTGTTGCTACGTGTCCATATCTTCTAAATGTCAGAGAATCACATTCATACAAACAATCATTTCTCCGCCCCCCCACCCTGGTCGAAAACGACTGATATCGGGGATGAACACGATGTCCCAGTTTAAAGACTGAACCCATAGTCGATGTGAACGTGAGCAGATACACGGAAATGAAGATGAGATGTGGAGAAAAAGGCATTAACGTGGCTGGACTCTCGTCAATTTAAAGCCACGATAAAAAAAAGAAGAGCAGCCCCTCTTTTTTTCCCTTAAAAAAAAGAAAATCAATAGTTTAGAAGGCAGTCGACGTTAATGGACGATTGTTTACATGTGGTAGTAGATGGGTAATGTTTCCACTAACCTGTGTGCAGCGACAGATCCGAAGATTTAGACCCTGATTCTTGAACCAGCAGCAGCAGCAGCAGCAGCAGCGCACTACGCTTTGTTCAGCTGCTGCCGCAACAGCCAATCAGAGGCCGACGCACATGTTGCTTCGCATAAAGTATGAAAGGCCCGTTGTAATTGGCTAATCAGTGATGTCAATTAAGGTTGTAAAGACCGATTGAGATAACGACACAAACAGATTGATTTTTATCAGAACTAAATTTCATTCCCTGCTTATCCTCTGTGTATGCTTAATGAGTACATTTGCACAAATTGATGATCCAAAAGAGAGCCAATATATTAGAAACCTAGGACAATTCATTAAAAGAGCATGACTGCATTAAAAAAAAAAAAAAAAATAAGTAAATAATGACAAAAAAGTAAAAACTCTAAGATTATTAATTCCAGACCAACAATCTCTGAGTAAAGCACAGCAGCAGCAAAATCAAATGGAGAAAAAAAAGACGGATCAACTTGTTGTCTTCTGGTTGTATGGGTGTTCATTACCTGAGCCTACTAATGTGAAAGCTTCCAAAATGCAAAGTAAATATTATCACATTTACTCAAGTACTCTAATAAAGGAATGTGACCCTTTAATTAACATTGACCCTTTGGAAGACCCTTAATCAGTTGGGGAAAACTGGACTAAGATTTTGATTTACTTAGCAAAAGTAGCAAAGTCTCAATATTAATCAACTCTGTAACAAGTAAAAGTCCTCTAATAAACATTTTGCCTTTGCAAAAGTAGAAATTGAAGGTAAATTGTAAGAATCAAAGTTGAAATTACTCATGAAGCAGAAACTCTGAGTGATGTTGAATATAACAGCTTGTCAAGGCTTTAGTGTTATACTGCTGCATCGTGTGAATGTCTGCGATAAGAACGCATACAACATTTTTATTTTTTTAAATAAGTTAATTTAATTATATTATTTTGATTTACTAATAGGTCCCTCAACATTGTACTAAAGCTCATTATGTGAGTCAGTGTACTGCTAGTAGTATAAAACCAGTTACATCCTTACCAGCTGCAGAGGTAAAATCACTCTCAAATAGCCTGTATCAACTAATAAAGTTAAATCTAAAAATAAATGAGCAACATAGCCCATTTGAATATAATTTATTTCTTTATATTTCCATTTGAAGATATTTTCATATGAACTTTACTACATCTCTAACTATATGCATAGAAAGGTTATTATCAAGGTTTGATTACAATATTGTATAAAATAATCCCTACAGGTGTTTTTTTATTATTATTACTTTTGGAGTTAGTAATCATTGTGGCCTGCACCAGGAGTACACATTTAAAGAAATTACAATCCTAATTTGTTTTGAACTCACACCTGAGAAATGTTAATCAACAAGCATTTTCAGAAGGTCTTTATTGTAGTGATATCTTCATATATCGTGATATCTAATGTCCAATACTGAGTTGGCCTTGAAAAAAAAAAACACCGGGTAAAAATAGAGCAAATCCTTGGTTTACTAGTGATCTATCAGATTTAAATCACCTATAGAAAATCAGGGAACAATTCCCATTGGTTTAGAATCAGAGAGCTGAGAGATCGATGTATATGCAGAGGTGTTGATTGTCAACAGGCAAAGCAGGCATCTGCTTGGGGCCCCAGGCCAGTGGGGGGCCTCAAAGAGCTGTCAAACTTTACACCACAGCAGTGGCTCAAAATGTGCAAATCTTCCAATGACAGTAGGAACCTCCCTAAGGGGGCCCCATCTGACAGCACTCCCTCCTGTTGCCCTGCTAAGCATAGCATGCATTGCTGTTTTGAAAACCAAAGACCAAAGGAAAAGGATTTTTTGCCTAGGGCCCCAATAGACTGTGGAATCACCACTGTATACATGGTGAGGAAAGCCAAATCAGAATATTTCCTTGACTTGGTTTATAACTCAAACTTGCTCAAATCCTGCAAACCTCTGGAAAGCTTTAACACAAATAAAAATAACTATTAATCCTCCATTCCCACTCAGATTAGTGTTTAAGATTGTGTACTCTCTGACCACAAAGAGATAGTTGCAGCTGGTCACCTTTTTAAGAATGAGGTATTACATCCCTCTACATGTGATAACAATTTGTTAACATCCAGTCTCTCTAAGCATGGTATGGGATGCTCATCTTGCATTTGATCCAAATAAATCTATCAGAGAGGATAATTAGGTTCCCTTTTTTTTTTCCAAAGTTCTCAGGTCCAATTATCTCAGAGCAAATACATTTTTATTTATTCCATCACATCTTGTAAAGTTCCCAAACTTAAGAAATGACACATTTCATTCCCCCTACATGAGGGATGTTTCCAGAAACCCCCGTAACAACAGGCCAATTTCCAAACTGCCTTGTTTGGGAAAGCTCTGGAGTTTGTTAATAAATAATCAATGAAAAGTCTTTCTATCCAGAGCTTACATCCTGAGCCTTCATACCTGTCAAGTTTTAGAACTGGGAACATTACTGATGTCACTAAAGTTGTTAATGATATCACATCAGCTTTTGAATTTAAAAAAACCGCTTCCATATATTTTTAGATTTTACGTACTTTATTAATCCCTGAGGGAAATTCTGGTTTACAGTCTGTTAGTGAGATACAAGCTTCTCACACACACAGACCTGACATAGACTGTCACGCACATCTGAATGCTGATGACACAATGCTGTATTCTGTGGCTGACACGTATATCTTGTAGTTAACATGTGACAACAGTAATTTAATAATGACAGAATATTTTGTATGATTTAAGACTGTACTTAATGCTGATAAAACTAAACGGATGCTCTTCAGAGTAAAAAACAACGGACCAGAATGAGATCAATATATGAACTAAAAAAAGACTTGAGAATAAGAGAGTGACAGATGATAAGTATTTAGTCGTATGGATTGATGAGAAATGAGCATTTAACTTTCACATCCATAATCTTTTAGAATTGGAGAGTTAAGTCAATCCAGGATTATTGCATCAAAGTCTACAGACATGCATCCTCCAAAACATTAACCGTCTTGACTCGGTCATGACATTTATTACTGGTGATGCCACACATCATTGCATTTTGTATATTAAGGTTGGAAGGTCTTCTCTCCAGGTGAGATGTGATTCTCATTGGCATCTTTTTATGTATAAAGCCCTTCTCCTTATATAAAAATGACCTTCTCACCTCACAGAACCCTTTCATTTGTCAGTTTATCAGACACGCTCCTCGAAAGCAGGGACTTTGACATGTTCCACAAGTCAGATCAGAACTTGGAAAGACTGGTTTTTCTTATTCTGACTCCTGGAACAAGTTCCAGCAGCTACTTATTGTTAACGAACGTTTACCCTTTGGGCATTTTACATGTTTGATTTTGAACCTCCCACCTTCTAGATGTATTTATTTGACACAAGTGTACCCTTTTTGATTTATAGGCCTACATTTTCCCATCTCAATCATTTAATCTTTTATAATTATTTTAATCTTATCTTAAACACACATTTGTATTCTACCTTTCAATCATTCAAACCTCATGTTCAGAATATATCTACAGTTTAACGATTTGAATGTCCTTATATCAATCTCTCTTCTGGTTTTTATAATTGCTTTGTAGTCTCTCTTCATTTATTTTGTAACTTACTTGAAATCATTGAACATGAGGTTTACGCCCTCAATGAGCTCTCAAGTATAAATAAAGGTTGATTGATGGATTGACATTCACTTGACAGATATATTCACTCTTTATTTAATCTGATCCTTTAAATAAGATGAGATGTGTTGTCCATGGATTTAACAGTCCAGTGGAGGGATAGCTTTATATGAGGATACTGAGGCCGTGTCCTATTTCTGGGAAATGAGGCTTTCAGAATCTTAAATTGTAAAAATTGTTGTTACTACAGTTTTTAGGCTGTTTCTATTTTTTTTTATGACTTAACACTTTTCAAGTTGATTATTTTCAGGATTTATATTTTTCCTTAAAAATGTTATTCTTGGTTGCACAGAGTGGCTTTTTATTTACACAAAATAATTCCTGGAAAGAACAGGATCTGAAGTATGGAGGCAAAGTAGTGAGGCAGCTGTTAAAGCTGGAGTTTAGTCTGCTGATCTTTTGTTGATTTCCAGCTGGCTTTAACTGATTCAAATATAACAGAGTAAATCAAAATATAAAACTCATGACCTAATATTTCAATCAATCAATCAATCTTCATTTGTATCTCGCCAATTCATAACAAATGTTATGTCAAGACACTTTACAAAAGAGCAGGTAAAAGACCTTACTCTTTGTTATATTGTCTACAAATCCTGGTGAAATGGTCATGATAAATCCAGTAATCAAACACGAGAACAACTTTAACTTTGATGAAAGCAGTTTACATGTTAATAGTTGAATTTGTGCCAAAAATCAGATCTAAAACTAAACTAAACTTACAGAGGTATCATGTTTGCAAAGTGAAGTTAAAAAGGTATTAACTGTCCTTATTGTGTCTCTTTAAGAACAGCCAGTGGGATAAAGCTGTCAGAATAAAGTGCTTTTGTTTTGTTTCTGAAGTGGTGACCTCTTCAGACTGTTCCCTTTACTGTGTATTATAAGCAGCTCTACTTTATTTTTCTGAGGTTTAAAATGGAAGATTAGAAAATTCAGCTGTAAAAAAAATGCAAGAGAGTTTGTATCTTTCTTTACACTACAATGAGAGCTGTAAAACTGATTTCAAAGTGGGGGTTCAGACCAGGTTGCCAAGGGGCACTAGGGGGGTCACAAAAACTTGGAGGGAATAGTGGGGGAATTGAACAATAATTTAGATTGACTTGTAACATCATTTGTGAGAAAATCATTTTGATACATGTGGTTTTAGATGTTATCCATCAAGGCCTATTGAAATCTCTGTGTTCTTTTTTTCTTTGCCAATCTAACCATTAAAGACAATAACACTCAGCACTTTAGCCAATCAGACCGCTAGACTGAACATGACCCAGATGCAAAAGGGCCCAACCCATGGAGCACCATCTGTGCATGTAAAACATGTCAGTATGAGCCAGCATGCAAAAACAATTGCTCTGATAAGAGCTTGTTGTTGTTGTTGTTTTTTATTTGAGATTGTAATGTAAAAGGAATTTAAGAAATTTGAAATTTTGCAAGAGGGGGTGTCCCTGCCAGAGGCTCATTATATATGTAGGGTTCCTTGGCAAAGTTTTTAAACCCCTGGCCTAGCATGTGACATCCTACAGTCAGTCTGTATGTTTACATGCAGTTAAAACAAAAAAGGCAATTTATTGTGTAAGTTTGACTAAGAGTGGATTTTTAAAATGCATGTTAACATGTTAGTCTGCCTGAAATTGGTCTCTCTTCTGTGAGATTGAGCTTCTGCCCTCAGGCAGGAGATACAGATTACGAAAGTCCCAAAAATGTTAAGATTTTATCACTCAGGCCATCAAACTACTGAATTCTAATAATGGCACTGGTGACTGTTAACTGACCACTGACGACTCCAAAGTGTACCACAAGAGGGCGCAGTTTCTCACCGTAAAGGAGACGACATCAGAGCTTTATTAATTCGTCCAATTATTAATGAGCACTTTAAATGTATCGTTTCAAACGAAAGCAGATATTGTCAATACTCTGATAAACATCTGACTGGATGGTGAATTTGAGATTTTAATAACGGAAATGATCATTTCAGGGTTTGGGAACAAGTTTATATTGTTTAGTTTAAAATCCTCCAACATATAAAAACATGTCGTTCCTGATATGTATGAAGAAGTAAAGAGTGATTCATACTAATTCTACGTTTTAAAAAAACAACAACACTGATGCTGTAATATTACCATGTTACCATAATGTTTGAAACTTTAGCTTCTTGTTTATCAGCCTTAACTAAAACCCTACGTAAAACCTCTGCCTGTGTTCACGCTGCGTGTTTCAAAGCGTCTGCGGTGTGAACTCAGCTCAGTTAACACACTGAGTGGGGACCGTGTGAACTGCTGCACTTCAGGCTGAGGGGGGCGCGCCAAGCCAGAGGATTGTGTCCGGGACCCTCAGAGGTCACCACGGGTCAGAGCGCAGCGCCTGACACACACACACACACACACACACACACACACACACACACACACACACACACACACAAACACGCACACAAACACACATTATGATGTGTAGAAAGAGACATGTAACCAATTCAATATGAAGACAAGTTATTAGACTAGTCAAATTCATTATAAATATTTTTCCATCAGAAAATTCTACTACAACTAAAAATAAGCAAAAATAAAAGGTAGATCATAATATATATATTTATATATATATATATATCATTTTTTTTTTTTCTAAAATGTCAAAGCTTTTTGGTTATACGGTATATTTTGTGAAATGTTTGAAATAAGGGAGACACTTACATTCTGTCTACAACATACTTGTTTTATGTTTTTACAGATCTAATTTTTACTTTCATCTGTTTGCCTCCAATTCATTTATAATCCTCCTGTAACAGATCAGAGTGGTTTTAATACTTTGTCTTCTTGCTTTGTGCTGCATGGGAGTAAAGCTAACATTGATCAATTCAACTTCAGTTCTGTTAGGTTTTTATAGACCTGAGTGGCATCATTCACTGATAACAGGATCAGTGTTGTTGAATGTGTAGTCAGGTGTCATACAGAGAGAGGGTGCCAGAAAAACAACAAAATCTACACTAAAATAAATCTATATACCAGGTACAGTCACTCTGACACTTAGGGACAAAGATCTATCGACAGAAACAAAAAAAAAAAACTTAATAACAACAATAATATTAATAATAATGGCTCTGCTAGCTTTGGATTAATACAAAGGACGCCTAATTGGGCTTGTTATTTATATATATTTTTTAATTTTCTGTTTTCTCATACTGTTGCGAAAGTAGTTTGTGTTATAGGATTTCTCTTTTTTCATTTAAAAAAAATATTCATTACTGCAGTTCTCTCCCCTTTTTTATCACTAGGTTACAGCAGTGACTTAATATTAGTATTATTATTAATAAATCATATACTGTTCCATGTTACACATGAGAGCCTGTAAGAGGCAATGACGTCTGATAAAATTAATCTTTCCAAAAACAAAACGTTTAAATTGAAATGCACATTTGTAATGTTTGCAGCCCATTTAAAAAGAATCGTCCTTAAGTTGAGGTTAGATACATCATTTTTTAATCATGTCTATAAGGCATATTATTACTCATTAAACAACTGGTCCAAATCAACCTGCAGTGTTCAAACCACAGGCTCAATGTCACCACCATTAGTCCCACAGATATGAGAAGAAAATAATAATTACATCCGTGGTGAATAAGCATATATTTTATTGAAATTAAACATATCAGACGCTACGTGATGAAATAAGGTTGTCAGACACTTTGACAAAATATTTATCACGCAAATACAGTTTTCACATCACAATAGTAGAATAAATCCCGACGCATCCTTTTGCCACGTACTGACGCAACACTGGGCGTTAAAAAGTCGGCCAGAAAAACTTCCATTACTTAATTCAGTTTTTGTTAAAAGCACAAGCACACAAGTCCCCACACATTTCAAAGGACAAACACATAAAAAGTGTTTAAAACTGCACAGTCAAGTAATTGGATTTTATGCCCCCGTCCCTCTCGCTCGCGCTTTTCTCTCCATGGTGCTCTAAAAACTCTCCAAACTCTTCAGATGTCTTGTGAGCCTTTCTTTCTCGATCTCCGCTGCTTTTTATTCTTCGACATCGCTCACAGGATCAAATATATCCCAGCACAGAGAAAGTTTCCAGATTAAAACGTTCTCAGTGACAAAAAAAAGAAAGCAGAAGAATTGGAGCAAACTGTTTTGGCGCATGAGAGCAGTTTGAGTCTGCGAGGGGCGCACACAATAAACCTGTTGTTAACCTTGCTGTGAAAATATGTTTGAAGAAAACAGCCAATTGTTGTATGAAATGTATTCAAGTATAAAATAATGCCCTTTGTTTGGGGGTAAAAACTTGAGCAATGTGAGGGTACAAAAGTCCCCTGTGGCATTTACTAGCAGCCTTTGTGCAGTGTGCGCTTTGGCGTCTCCACTTGGCGCATTACCCAGGCCCCTTTAAACGCGATTGTTTCTTTCTTTCTAATGACATTTACCGGATCAAAACATGCTGTTAATTCGATCAGAAAGCTTCACCCTTCATAACAATGGCAGTATAATTTCTCCCAAAGTTTGTTAAGTTGACCGAAATTAGGCAAATGAATAGGGGTCTCCAGGCTACCCATCTTGCAGGTGACGGGGAATAATGCGCGTTCACACCAGCTGCATTCTTCTTTATTTCTCCCTTTCTTTCACAGCATTATTAAAATTTAGGCCAATGAAACTATTCATTCGACTGAATAGACATTTTCTTATAGGATAATAGGATACAAATTGAGCCTCTCCAAAGAGTCTCCAGTGGTGGGTAACCCTCGTGTGCCAGAGGCTGCTGGAGACGCTGGCCCTGACGCAGACGACGCTCGTGTGCCAGGGCTAATCACACACCTGCCGAGGAGTCCAACAAAATAAAGAATGTAAACAAAAAGCTTGCCATCTCTCATAAAAGATGGACGTGTCAGCAAGTCGTGTGAGAAACGCCGAGAACAAACGGGGGGACTCCGTCTCCAAAAGATCTCCCCTGAACTTGGCGGAACAGCCTATTAAAGGCTTACTTAATTACTCTAATGACACTGGACAGGCCTTAAAACTCGGACCCGGCTTGGACGAGAGTTAAGATAGCTTGCTGGGATTTGTAAACAGGCGATCGTGTGAGAAACGCGAGTTGGAAGAAAGAGGGTTTCTTTTTTCGCCGGCTTTGTTTTCAGTGCGCACTGTGCGCCCCGCCGGATCAGGCGATCCCAACGCTCACTTCTTATTTCCCGCCTGGGTTGTTACTATGCAAATAATATTCCAAAAGTAATCACGTGTCTTTTGAAAAGCCACGTGGATTAACAAAGCAGGTTTGCCCCCCTGCTAGCCCATGGCTTTAGATTTTTACTATTTCTTTAACTGATCCTAAATGCACACATTTACCCAATGCATGGCTCTAATCCCATGGAATAATTTACACCATGAATGCCACAGGCTCCTGGATGATCCCTTTATAAGGACCTGCTCTCCCCTCAAACCTTAGTCTGCTACATCTCCTGCCAGAGCGACACATCCACTCAACGTCCAGCTCAACTGATTTTACTAGAAGTTTGACAGGATTCCGTCAATGGCATCAAAAATGAAAGACAGGAAGGTACGCGCTCCACGTGCGCTCTGCACTACGAGGACTGAACTTTTTTGGCATCTCTGCACTTTTGACACGTTTTAGTTACTTTATGGAATAATGTTTTTGATATTTTATTGTTTAACTACACCTTGGAGTCATTTCCACGCGAGTTCAGAGGGGATCTTTTGTCTACCGGCTCAGTGTGCACGGTTACAGAATAACTACAGCGCGCTTCTGATTCAAACTAGCCAGTCTAACATTACGGTATACCTTTTACTCATGATGCCAAAAATTGGGTTATAGACCCACACTTTGGGCTAAATCTTATTTAATGAGGATTCATTGGATACCAACAGGACTTCAACAGGAGATAAACTTCTCAGAGCGCTGATATCTGCCGCGCGCTCCGGAGCGCCAAAGCGCGCAGCGCGCAAAACTCTCAGGGAGATTTAGATATTGAATTTCTATATATTTCGCAGCTGCAGGCGATTTAGTTACATTCATGCCTTTATTAATGGCTAAATTTTTCGATTTTCTGCTTGAAAAATAACTGTGAATGAGGTTTAGAATGTTGGATTTGTGTGCTCATGTTTCTTTCTCTTTTCACAGAGGACTCCCATCTCTCATAAAGTCATTGAGAAACGAAGACGGGACCGCATTAACCGCTGCCTCAATGAACTAGGAAAAACAGTACCAATGGCGCTGGCGAAACAGGTAAAGTCAAACTTTAACTAAGTGTAGATCTACTGTTCCATGTGGACAATTCTGCAAGAAAGCGTTTAGAAGATGGTCATCAAATGTGTAATCATGGTGTCTTTGCAAACATTTTTTTAAAGTTGGATTTTTTTTTTTTTATGATTGTATTTTGGCAGAATTCTGGAAAACTGGAGAAAGCAGAAATCTTGGAGATGACAGTTCAGTATCTGCGCGCGCTCCACTCAGCGGATTTCCCCCGAGGGAGAGAAAAGGGTGCGTAAAGTTTTCAAAGACGCTTTACGCATCTCAACCACACATTACTACCACTGATCTCTGCGGACTTTGCTTTGGAACTGATTTAGTAGAAATATGAATTATTTGTGTATTTATGTATATTTGGGTTATGTTTCCATACATTGTGTCGCTTGTCCAGTTTTGCGCAGCAGGATAGAGTCACAAAAAACTACGATGCTGCAGACTTTTTCTTTTTCTTTGAATCATTACATGGACAGGGTTGTAATCGCTGCTTTCTTTAATTCATTGCAGGTGAACTTCTGGCTGAGTTTGCAAACTACTTCCACTACGGATACCACGAGTGTATGAAGAACCTGGTCCACTACCTGACCACAGAGGACAGGGCTGAAACCAAAGACATAAAGTACGCACGGATCCTCGCCTTCTTACAGTCCAAGTCCCGCGTTGTCACTGATCCCGTGTTCGGCTCCGTGGGCTCTATGCCAGAACCCTGTGACTATCTCGGCCAGCTGCACTCCTCCCCGGAGCACCAAAGCCACAGCCCCTCTGAGTCCGTGTACCAGCAGAGTCCACCGGGACACTTCTCCTGGCACGGCTCTGCACGCAGTCCGGGCATCTCGTACCCAACAGTGCCACTCTCTGCGCACACACAGCAGCACGCGGGATACTTGTCACCCGTGCAGGGACTAGATCACCACTATTTCAACTTTATCGGTCACACGCACGCGAACACGTTCAGTTTGCACAGTGCGCAGCACGCCATGTAAATAGCCCACTGTTCACTGTTTTAATGAGTTTTTAATTTATATTTCTGTGAATGATGTAAAGATATCCTGTACATTTTGTGAATAAATATTTCTGACTAAAACTCAGCTTATATTGTCATCAATGACTCAGTTTTAAATTGTTGGATGAAGCTCTATGTGCGTACATTCTCACTTAACCAAAGGCAGCAATAATCCTGTTGCTCTCCTAAGATTCAAATATTTAGGTTAGCAATTCAACTAAATGAGAAGGGATGGAAAACATCTCCATTTGAAACTATGCAAATGTTTGTCTTTTTCCAAATTATAGTGATTTTTTCTTACACATAGTGCACAGCTGCGCTGTGTTTTTATGACATAAAATAAACAGTTAACCATGACAGAGGGATTTTTTTTTACGACAGGTTTCTTTTCACAAGTTAGTCTGGGCTTTAACTTGAACAAAAATTCTAAAAATGGTCACATAGTGTCATTCATTTCCAATATTTTCCTCAGTCCTATTATCTGTGTGTTTGATTGGTGTCACAGCGGGTACCAGGGGGCAGACATGAGCCTTCCACTGGACCCCATGATTCTGCTCCTGACTTAAACAAACCTGCAGTTAACAAAGCTGTTAATCACCAAACAACCCCCTCCCTCAAAATACAAGTCTGTTATTGAACACAAAACCATTTTGTGACCAAATAAGAAAAGCAAGATTTCTGTGCAGATATTACTGAAAAGAAAATTGAAAAAGTTTCATATTAAAGGTGCATTATGAAGTTTTGGTAGTGAAATTTGAAAATTGGAAAAGTGAAACAATGAAATGCTTTATTTCTAAACTAAATACACAAACTTTATTCTAAGACAAAAATGGGTCCCTAGAACACTGTTTGGAGCTAAAAAGCTACCAGGGGAGTCACGGTTTCTCTATAGCGGGCCCCCCATCATAACTTAACATAACATAACTCGTGTAGCATTTTATCTTCAAAGAACTTTCCAGAGACCAAATTTTCCTCTGAGGACAGTTTGTGTAGAGTTTAAACATATACCACATTATCTGTACATTTCTCTACCTAAACGCCACAGTGCACCTTTAAGGATCTCAAAGAATTAAAGAAGAAAGTGTAAAAGCAATCAAAGTCAGCTTCTTTGTGAGCTTAAGACACGTTTAGGGAAATGAGGTTGACTATTCAGGAGTAAAGAGGGATCTCAAGCAGAAAAGTAAAAGTTGATGCTTATTTAGATGTAAAAATTGTCTTTTCTTCATTCATTCAAACATAAAAGAGCTGCAGAAATGTCGCAAGCATTCTACTCAACAGGGAAACAGATCTCTGTGAGCTTGTGAGCCTTTTAAACTTTCTAAAGAAAAAGCCATATTGGGAAAAGTTAGCCTTTAAAAAAAAGCTTTTTGCCTCCCACAGAAAGGGGAATTACTGTGATCAAAAGAGGATTGTTTTTGCCAAGCTTGTGTCTAATATATGTGACCACAGAGTCTCAATAAATGCATTAGTCTGCTTCCAGGCTCCTTCTGTGTTCCTTTAAGTAAGTTGTATTTGTTAGATTGTAAAAAGAGAAGTTAAAAAAAAAGGAGAGAAAGGGGGAAGAACTCCTTGTTGTTTTCTTAACCAGGCAGGCCCATTGTGGAGCATCTGAAAGGAGAACAATCTCTGCCTCCTTCTGCTTAATCCTTGAGTGATTACGAAGAAAAATAATCATCAGCATGAAATCAAAGTTTCTCTGAAAGGATTTCAAGGAAGCAGACTTTTCTCCACTGTTTTCTCTTAAATTATCAAAGCAGAATATCATTACGTATTTCTCTCCTGTGACATATTATGGCTGGAATACCTGGCTGGTCTGATGAAAGGCAACATGCAAGGTGTTGATGGTATCCTCTTAAATTAGTCTACATGTGTGTCCATATTTAATGGATTGAAGAATTGATTCTGGGTGGATGGATTGATGAAGGAGGCATGAATCCACATTAATCGCCTGGATGGTTGGATAAACCCCCATTAACCAGCTCCTGACCGAAAAAAAAAAAAAAAAAGCATGCAGCAAGAAAGCAAATCAAAGAAATGAAAGACAAAGTGCATGCAGACAGAAAAAAAGAGACAAATGATAAAAGAAGGACTGCTTTGAATAGTTGAATCCCTATAGGACCCAGTATTGGTTTAAAAGGTGACTCTGAGCAGCGGGAGAAAGGATTCATGTTCAGCCACATGAGAGAGATTTAGCTGCAGCACATCACATGAATAATAATAAAATGAGCAGGGATAAAAAAAAAAAAGAACCAGGTCATGTTTTGTCATGTAAACTGAGCCACAGTGCTAGAGCTTCAGTTTGAGAATGTTTGTCTTTCACATTAATATCACATGCTGAACATGAACAATCCGCTCTTTTCAAAAAAATTATTCATCACTGGAACGTCATAAGAGTTTTTTTTTTATTTACACACTGATGAGAACGACGTCCGGCAAGTACAAAGAAGTTTCAGTGTTGTGTGAGGAACAATAAAGGGACCACTGGGACTTATTGATGTCTTATATGACTTGTTAAAAAAACTAAATATATTTTAAGAAATCTGTCACACTTTTTGATTCTTCTGCTTCTGTAACTTTTCAACAGCCAAAGGACAAATCCGACATCTTTTCTCATCTCGGATAACGTTTTAAGTGTTTTAAAGAACGGAATACAATTGATAATAATTAGATGAAGTGGAACCTTTTATTGCCTCTATGAAAAAACATTTATTAAAATTTTATAGAATAAATGTATGTATTATGAAATAAATCAAACATGTTTGTTTTCATAAAATAGATTAAAGGTTTCATGTGTTAAAGGAACAAAGTACATTTGTTAATTTTCTGGTATCTATACTTTTTTTGTGTCAGGCAAAGCATAAAATGTGTTTAACTGATTCTAAGATTATTGTGAATAACAAATACAGTATATTGTTTAGTTTTTCTTAAATGTCGACTTTTGTCAGATGTTTTTTTTCTGGAACTGCAGCATGCACTTAAGCACATGTATGATCAAACATTTCACTTGTAAATATTACTAAACTTAGAATTAATGTCTGAAAATTTTAACTCAAGTGACTCATTTTTTAAGAAGTTTCTGGATTGTTATTCTTGAAGCAATCAGCCCATATTTAAAAAAAAAAGAATTTACTGAGACCTGACTGAAGTTCAAACAGTACCTGCAAATTCCTTCCTGTGTTAAATCTTCAGTTTTCTTACAGATTAAATAGCTGGGATGTGACGTGTTCATTAATCACACTTTATATTACAGGTAGATATGATACTTTTTAAAAGAGCTGCGCTGTCTGTTTCTCATTTCACCTTGTTTTCAGTTCAGTTCAGTTCAGACCTTATTGGAAGAGACATTTGATTTACAGCAGTGCACTAAAACAGAATGAATAAAAAGACAAAGGACAGTGCAACACCACCTGATACAACCAATATAAATAAAGTGCTATAGTGCAGAAAGCCTTTATGCTAAGCTAAGCTAACCACTGTTAGCTGAACCCCCAACGGACAATAAGCTGAATCAGTCTTTTCTTCTTTCTCTTTGCAAGACAGTGAATCCAGAAAAATCCGAAAAAGTTCCAATCTTTGTAGGAAGGGTCGCAAGGGAAAAAGAAAGAGTGCCGAGGGACCAACAAGTGTCACCTGTTTTGATCTCTGCACCCATGGGATCACAGAAGTCAGACTCAGGCAGTTAGCTAAGCTTCTGACAAACTGTGTTTGTGTGTGTCTGTGTGTGTGTGTTTACACGTCTATACAGTGGAGCTTTGGAAGCGAAGCCAAAGCAGTTCACAAGCTGTGAGAAATCCAACAGTCAGTGGTGGTCGTGATCAAAAGTCCTGCAGTGGCATCAGCTCACCTCAGGACGGTTGTCTGATCTCCTGCATGAAAAGACAGAGACAGAGAGGAGGGAGGGGGAGAGGAGAGGAGAGGGAGGGGGAGAGGCAGAGGAGAGTCGGAAAATAGAAACAGTTTGAGATAGAGGGAGTGTTAAGAAAAAAAAGGGGGGAATAGAAAGGGATGAAGATCATTCCCACCACAGATAGCACTATCTCACAGGGTTGAAAGGGCCCCCTCTCTGTACACCCTCCCTCCTTCTCCTTCCCCCTTTCTCCTCCTCCCCCCTCTCACCAATAATGCCAAAACTTGGCAGCAAACCCAGCGCATGAGCAACAGTTTCCCATCAGACAGGGAGAAGCAGCCATGGCCTTGGCACCAGCAGAGTCTGAAGAAAGACAGGCACTGTAAGAAGAAGAGGAGAGCAGACATGAATGGAGTCTGTGAGGAGGGGAAGAAAACAAACGGCACATATCAAGGCCTTTTGATTGTGTGGGAGTGTGAGAAGTGACACTTCTTGATCTGATGACGAGTTTCATCCATGGAGAAATGTGAATTGTTTCTAGACATAAGCAGAAATTAAATAATTAATCATAATTCTCAGCTCAAAATGTTCTCTCTTTTTGGCTCCTGCAGATTAAAAAAAGACGCTGGGCCGAAGGATATCAGCAACAAAATCTGCCAGAGTAGCCTCCCCTGCCCCCTGCTAAGAGATGAGGCCTTCACCTTTCTGCACTTGGCACAACCTCTCTATGTGCTCACCAGCGATGCCATCAGATTATGCAAATCCACAAAGATGTCCCATTCAACACAACCTCCATTTAGAACTGAGATATTTGAGCCAAAAATGAATAGAGTGATAAAAGAGGCAGTGTTTTGAAGGAGCGAGAGCAGGGAAGGGTCAAAGACATCTCCGATATAAATGAAGACATAATGAATACTGTACAGAGTATCCCACTGTGGAACAGCGTCTCAGTCGCACCCTCTTTTTGCCCGCTTTTTGTTTTCTTTTGCTGTTTTGTTCATTTTTTTCTCGTGTGCAGAAATATGGTGGCAGAGAACAGCATGGGAACGCTCCAACAAGCATGCAACAACACACTAAAGAAAAGGGCTAAAGAGAGTCAAAGAAACAAAAAACAACAAACAAAAAGAAACAAA